ACAAAGTATCCGAATACTTTCACTACAGTATTCGAGTACCACACAGTATCCGAATACTTTCACTACAGTATCTGAATACCACTACGTATTCGAATACTTTTACTAAGGTATCCGAATACTTTTCTTCCCAGAAAAGTATCCAATACTCCTTGGTAAGTATTCGAATACCTCTTGATGAGTATTCGAATACTCCACGAAAAGTATTCGAATACTTATCAGACAGAATGCAAAAACTTGTGCAGTCTCTGCATAATCACCATTTTAAGGGTCCTATCACGATTTAGAGTTCAATGAATCCACAAACAGAAGTTCATTAATACATTTTAAGCATAGATTATCAACCTTTAACTTGAGTGATCAAAGTTTCCCTTTTTAATGACCCAAACAAGCTAAAATCATGAATTTTCGAAGAGCATGATCATGAGTTACCTCTAGGCTTAAGAACTCAGAAAAAGGAACTAACTTGGAGCTTCCCACACAGCTCAACCACACTGACTTCACAAGGCCACGAATTTGACACCCAAGCTTGGTCCGTTATACCAAAAGGTGGCTTCTTGATAATTGGCTCCCCCTTCACTCACTAAGAAGTCAACTCACCACACTCGCCAAGCAGAGGCTGACACTCAGAAATGAAGCACCTAACTCCCTCACAATGCTAACTCACACCTAGCTATGGTATTTTGGTGAAGGAACTATGAAGAAAGGTGGTCCCTTGGTTGAGTTTCATGAAGAAGAAGAAGGCAATGGAGTAAGGTGGAAAGGGTGGCAGCCAAGGAATCCGAAAACTCACGTAGGAAGTGTGAAATTCTGACCTATAAATATGTGCCATGCCTATTTATACGCGTATTAAATTTAATCCTTTAGTATTAGCACTAATAGCTCCGCTAATCATTTTAATCTCAAATTTCAGATTTTGAACCTAGTCATTTTTCTAGGATTTGTCATATTTGTATTATAATTTTCACAGCACTTTGCCGGTACGCATTTTTACGTAGCCGATATTAGTTTTGATGTCAGTTCTCATTATTTCGACTCAACTTGATATATCAGTCCTAAATATTATTCTAGGAATAATCATACACTTATTATAATTTTTTGGAATACTTCATCGGTACGCAATTATACCGAGAAGCAGAACCGATATCTGCACTTTTCGTCAGAAAAGCGACTTTCAGCGTTATTAAACCCTCGTGATAATTATTCTCACCTTACCATATTTTTATTCAAGGTCAATTATGGGATTATCTCATAAACTCATAATTAAATTATTTAAATTCCTAATTTAACAGTGTAGGTTCTTACAGTTGACAGATCCATTGTTAAGCCATAAGGAAAAGTAAAGGATTTGCTGGTCAAAGTGGATAAATTCATTTTTCCTGCTGACTGCATGGTCGTAGATTATGAAGCTGATGTTAACGTTCCCATCATTTTAGGAAGACCGTTCCTTGCAACTGGAGGAGCTGTTATCAATGTACAGAAAGGAGAACTCACCATGATAGTTCATGATTATGAAATTAAATTCAATGTTTTAAAAGCCATGAAATTTCATGATGATGAAGGAAATCTGGAAGAATGTTCTATGGTATATGTTCTAAATACCTACATTGTAAGAACCCGCACAGTTAAATTAGGAATTTAATTAATTAATTATGAGCTTAAGTGAATAATTCCATAATTGACCTTAAATAATTATAGTAAGGTAAGAATAATTAATATAAGGGCTTGATAACGTTGAAAGTCGCTTTTCTGACGAAAAGTGCAGATACCGATTATGCTCCACAGTATAAGTGCGTACCGACGAAGTATCCCGAAAAATTATAATAAGTATGTGAATATTGCTAGAAAAATATTTAGGACTGGTATGTCAAGTTTGGAGTCAAAATAATGAGAACTGGCGTCAGGATTGATACCGATTACGTAAAAATGCGTACCAGCAAAGTGCTGCGAAAATTATAATAAAAATATGATAAAGCCTAGAAAAATGGCTAGGTCCAGAATATGAAGTTTGGGATTAAAAAGATTAACGTAGCTATTAATGCTAATACAGTGAGATTAAACTTAATTATACTATATATACTTAATGGCACACCGTTCTAGGTCAGTTTTCATTCTTCAAAACTATTCTATGTGCCTCTCTTCTGAACCTTGAGTCCTCCATGCTAGCCACCATCTTCTCCTTCATCTTGTGAGCCAAGAGGCCACTTTTCTTCATGGAATCTTCACCAAAACACCTTGGGTTAGTGTGAAGTAGCATTGTGAGTGGGAAAGGTGCATCATTTCTGAGTGTTGATTCTGTGTGGAGTGTGTTGAAGGGCTGTGTTCTTCAGATTACATTGGGGGAGCCATTCCCTTAACCTTTGAAGCTTCAAGAAGCTATTTTGGGTGAGAAAGGACCAAGCTTGCAAGGCAAATTTGTGGCCTTGTGAAGTCATTGTTGTGTGGCTGATTGGTGAGCTCCAAGAGCACCATTTGCTTCTATTTTGAGCTTAGGGTATGTCCTTGAACCTTTGATAATGAGTTTCTTTAATAAAAGTTGAGTCTTGGCATGTAAAACGATTATGTTAAGTAACCAACATGAACACTGACCTATATGAGTATAAAAATGCATGATTTAACGTGTATATGTGCTAAAAGAGGAACCTTTGAGTGATATCTTCGCGAAATGAAGAAACTGCATTCTGTCGCGAAATATTTGGATATTGATATCCGAATATGGGCTTGGTGATATCCGGATATGGATATGCGGATATGGCCCCGACATATATTCGGATATTTTGGGAATTTCGAGTTGGTCACTGTTCTGTTCATACATAATGGTACATTGGGTTTGTGGACCCATGATTGTTTGAGTTGAACCTCGGTAATAATTGAACTAAGTCAGAATCAATTGGATTAAGGGATTTTGGCTTTGGGAGAAGCCTAATGGCATAAAACGTAAAGGGAAACGTTGTCGTTATGTTATGAACTTTTAGATTATGAATGTTGATATGATTGCTGGTCTAAACAGATTGTGATTGAGCTGTTTGTGGACCTTGGGATGGTGTGGACCTTTGACTTGGGATTTGTTAGCTTGCGAGGTAAACTTTCATGTCCTCGGTTTTGCCCATTGTTGGTTTCACCATACGTCATGGAAGGATGGTTTATATGCATGATGTCTTTTTATGAAATGGTATTGAAATGTTTTATTAAGTGCAAGTGTCTTATGATATGTATGTGGTGTTCCACCTAGACGGTAAGCCTGAGTATGTAGCGTCATACAAGATGGTGATTCTATGGGTGAGGTGCAAGTAGCGTCTTGTACTGTAGGTTGTAGACGTATGTAATTCCTACATGTTTATTCTCTGGCCAGTAGGATTCTGACACACATGACATGATTATATGTTGCATTGCATAGATTTTGGAACTTATAATGTTTTACTGTTTTAGAACTTATATTGCATATGTAAGTGAGCTTGGGGTGGAGAGATCCTTGAGGACCCCTTGTCTTACTGAGATTTCTTTTTAGAGATCTCACCCCACGTTTGGGGCACATTTTCAGGTTCAGGTACCTCGGGGGTTGATACCTCGGGCGGCAGGAGGCCAGAGTTGAGTTGATTATACATGCTGATTACTCACATGTCTGATTAGTGCCTATGTTTATCCAGTATATGATTAATTGCTTTGAGACATTGAGTGGGCTCTGTTGACTTTTTTGATGAGCATGGGAGTTGTCCATGCCACATTGACTATGTTGTGATATTTTAGTTTTAAGTTGTATAATTGTATCAGGATATTGTCCGGTCTACGTGTTGTAGTTCCGTGACTAGATACACACTTATTTATATCATGAGGTTATTCAGTTAGATCTTTATTGCAATTTATATACATGAATTATTTTGAAAAAGGATTAAATAGTCAACTTGGTTAATAATAATGACGTCATAATTGAAAAGAAAAAGTTAGCTTCCGCATTTATTTAGCTGCGCTATTACCATCTGTATGATAATACACCAGATGCACACGGGGTTTTACGTACATCAACCTGAAGCCAAGAGAAAAAGAATCAGAAGCAGAGGAAAGTTTGCAGGATGAAGAACATGTTCTATATTTGCTAGGGAGAACACCTGAACCTCTGTAGAGGATAGAAAAAGAAAGAGAAGTCAAGAGACCATCTGCAAAGCAACCACCTGAGCTGGAATTGAAGCCATTTCCCCAACATCTGAAGTATGCATACTTGGGGAACGCTAACACTCCCCATGTCATCATCTCATCATTCCTTACCAAAGATCAAGAATAATTTTTTATCAACAAGCTGAAGAAATATCAAGGAGCTATTGGCTGGACTATAGCTGATCTCAAAGGTATCAGTCCTATTTTTTGTATGCATAAAATTTTATTGGCTTACCCCTGATAGTTTTTCAGTATAACATCAAAGAAGATTAAATCCCATCATGAAAGAAGTGGTGCGAAAAGCGATAATTAAGTGGTTAGATATAGGAATCATTTACCCCATTTCAGATAGCAATTGGGTAAGCCTTGTTCAATGCATTCACAAGAAGGGAGGCATAACTTTGGAGCTGAATGCAAAAAATGAACTTATTCCTGTCAGAAAAGTCACAGGTTGAGGATCTATCAAGACTACAGGAAGCTCAATCCTGCAACAAGGAAAGACCATTTTCTTCTTCCATTCACAGATCATATGTTAGATCATTTAGGAGGCAAGGAATATTTTTGTTTTCTTGATGGATATTCTGGATACAATCAAATCCCTCTAGCACTTTCACCTGTCCTCACGGAACATGTGCCTTCAGAAGAATGCCTTTTGGACTATGTAATGCTCCAACAATGTTTCAGTGATTTATGTTCTCTATTTTTTCTGATTTGATAGGTGAAGGAGTGGAGCTTTTTATGGATGATTTCTCAGTGTTGGGAACGTCATATGATCGTTGCCTGAAAAATTTAGAAGTACTATAAAGGTATCTCTCTTCTAATCTCATTCTTAACGGGAGAAATGAAATTTTATGGTGAAAGAAGGAATTGTCCTTGGACATAAGATCTCCAAGAACGGATTGGAAGTTGACCAAGCCAAAGTAGAAGCTATAGCCAAGATGCCACCCCCTGTAAATGTTAAAAATCTCATATCTTTTCTTGGGCATGTTGGCTTCTATAGAAGGTTTATCAAAGATTTTTCCAAAGTGGCTATACCTCTTTGCCAATTGTTGGAGAAAGATATCAAATTTGAATTCAGTCCTGAATGCCTGAATGCTTTTGAAGCTTTGAAGAGTAAGTTAATTACTACACCTATCATCCAACCTACAGACTGGAACCTACCATTTGAACTAATGTGTGATGAAAGTGATCAAGCTATAGGGGTGGTTCTGGGTTAGAGGAAGGATAAATTGTTTTGTAGCATATACTATGCCAGCAAAACTTCGAATGAAGCTTAAGTGAACTATACAGTAACTGAAAAGGAGCTACTAGCTATAGTATATGCATGCGAAAAGTTCAGACCATATATTCTTGGTTCTAAAGTTACTCTTCATATTGACCATGCAGCTCTCAGATACTTGTTTGCTAAGAAAGAAGCAAAGCCTCGTTTAATTAGATGGATCTTGCTACTGCAAGAATTCAATCTGGAAGTCAAAGAAAGAAAAGGTTGTGAGAACCATATTACATATCATCTTTCCAGATTGGAACATACTGAAGCTGGCATGCTTATCAAGGCGACGTTCCCTGATGAACAATTATTTGTCATCCATGAAAAAAATGTTCTTTGATTTGCTGACATTGCTAAATTTCTTGCAGCAGGAATAGAACCTTATGAGGCAAACAAAATGCAAAAGAAAAAAATTCTTTCATGACTCAGGAACTATTTATGGGATGAACCTTTGTTGTTCAAAAGATGTGCAGATCAAATAATAAGGAGGTTCGTTACAGAAGAAGAACAAGTCCAAATCCTCTTCCACTGCCATTCTTCACCACATGGAGGCCATCTAGGAGGGATTAGAACTGCATCCAAAGTGTTTCAATTAGGTTTTTACTGGCCCTCTCTTTTTAAAAATGCTCTCCAGTATGCTAAAGAATGTGATTCATTTTAAAGGGAAGGAAACATAACCAAACAAAATGAAATGCCTCTTAATCCTATTCTAGAAGTTGAATTATTTGATGTCTGAGGTATTGATTTTATGAGTCCATTTCCTCTTTCTTCTGGGAATAAATTTATTTTAATGGCTGTAGATTATGTGAGTAAGTGGGTTGAAGTTGTGGCTCTACCCACTAATGATGAAAAGTTGTGTGAGATTTCTAAAGAAAAATATTTTGACAAGGTACAGAACACCTCGCTGCATTAGCAGTGATGGTGGGAAGCACTTTATCAACCACCTATTTGAGAGGTTGTTGGAAAAATATAAAGTAAGACACAAGGTTGCAACTATATATCATCCTCAAACCAGTGGGCTGAATGAGGTATCTAACCGAGAAGTTAAGAGAATCTTAGAGAATGTTGCCAATCCTTCTCGAAAAGACTGGTCTCTCAAATTAGATGAAGCATTGTGGGCTTACAGAACATCCTACAGAACACCACTTAGATGTTCTCCATATAGATTGATCTTTGGCAAAGCCTGTCATCTTCCATTAGTGTTAGAACACAAAGCATATTGGGCAATCTATTCATTGATCATAGATGAGAAGGCAGTAGAAGAAAAAAGGCTGCTCCAACGGGAAGAATTCAGAGGAAACACTTATGAGAACCACAAGCTGTATAAGGAGAAAATGAAGAAATGACATGAAAAAAGAATCAGGAACAGAGAATTTAAGTTGGTCAGAAAGTCCTACTATTCAATTCAAGGCTTAGATTGTTCCCTGGGAAGCTCAAGTCAAGTTGGACTGGTCCATACCAGATTATTCAAGACTCAGGAAATAGAGCCTTTGAAATTCAAGGCTCTGAAATTGTATTTTGATGACACCTTCAATGGCAAAAAGGAAAGTATCCCTCTCTCTAATTCCACTTGAAAAGATGAACACTGAGTCTAGCTAAAGACATTAAATTAAGCGCTGACTGGGAGGCAACCCAGCTTTTTACCTTTGTTCCCTGACTGGAATAAAGTTTTGGGGTGGTTAACTTGACCACGCAGAGCCAAAACAAGGGGGAATGTCTGATGTTCACCCTCTATTCTCTAAAGATGTAATCCGTTCCGTGACAGGAACGTAGTTTTGGGGTGGTTAACTAACCACATATCCCCATTCTTAAAAAAAATGTGTGTTTTTATATATTTTTTTGGTTAAGTTAAAATTGTATATATGTATTTCTGTTGTAAATGTATTATTTTCAGGTCGTTCCAAAAGGGGACGTTCCCAAACTTATGAGATAAGGATGCCAAGTCATTAGAGACACCTGTCTCTGCTGAGTCACCAAATACAGTATGCAGTTGTTACCAACTTATACTCATTATAAATTTTGGAAACACGCGCAAAGAAAAGTAACTGTCCACTTAGCTATTAAGACAACTGATCCTCCTCCCTCTCTCTCCCACGATCTTGCCCTAAAACCGTTCCATCTCCTCAACCTGTCACCATATTTCACATCCCTTATTTTCTGACCACTCGTTTTGAAATGTTCCCCTACTACTTCCTCAATTTCCCTCGACAACCTTCCATGTTCTTAAACTACTTTCCCTATCTCTTCTGCATGCCTATTTAACTCTCTTCCTTCTTCACTTTTATACTCTATCACTCTCCTCGAAGCTCAGAAAACCTAAGTTTCCTTCTCTCCCAATTCTTCTCTGTTATTCTTTGCTTCACCCTAATCCTTCAAAAACCATAACCATGACAAGAGCTAAGCTTACCATAACACCTATTTCTGACTACTCCCAAGAGCCAAAAATTACGGAACCCACTGTAACCCTCTACCTAGAGAGATTTATTCAGCTGGGAAAGAAAGAAACCATCATGCCAACCTTCATTCTTGCAGCACTTGTAAACCTTAAATGGTGAAAGTTTGCAATGGAGGAACGAAGTTTCTACCCTTCACTAGTGGCTGATTTCTTATACCACACAAAGAGGCTTCCAAAGAATGACCAGAAAGATGAGGTGGTGGTTCAAGGGAAGAGAGTTTCATTCTCCCCTGAAACTATCAAGAAGGTGCTTTCCCTACCAACAGTGAGCGTCTGTCGCTACCAAGACTATGTAGGGAAGAAGGATAACCCAGACTTCAAGTTTCTGGTATTGATTACAATAGCCCTGGAGAAACCGATGTATACCAAGGGAGCTCTCTGTAACGGTGTCCTGCTAAACGAGACTAGATTCTGGTCCTTTTTTTCCATCACCAATCTGACTCCCTCAACCCACGACGCTACTGTGAAGTGGGAGCTGCAAGTGCAACTGTACTACATCATGAAGAACATTCCCTTCAATTTAGTACCCCTCATTTATGAGAGCCTGAAGAGGGAGTTCAGGAAATCCACCAACTGCCTTCCCAGCTTGATCTCCAAGCTCTGTTTAAGAGCTGGTGTTCCAATTCCTCCAGCTAAGCAACCATCAATTAGGTCAGTCATTGACCATAAGACCTTGAACAATCTGAGGATCACATACCTCGAAGATACCCCCAAAAGCCTTTTTGAGCATAATCTTATATATGGGGTTTCTGTTATCACAAAGGATGAAGAAGAGAAGAGGCGTCAATAGTGAAATGAGGAAAACCCTCCTTTTTCTTGCATTTTGTAGTTTTTAGTTTTTTTCCGTAGTGTAAAATCTTTTCTATATTAGTAAAAGTTTTTTTTGGAAGTTCAAAATTCAACTGTTTAGAGAAAAATAACTTAGTTGTAATAATTTTGTTACCTAATAATGAAAAGTAAAAGCATGAGGTATAAGGCTAATGAGTTAACATTTTTAAATCTTAGATAGAATTCTGAAAATAGATAAAGAGAAAATTGAATTTGACCCTTAGATTTGTGAAGGATATTGATTTGTGTGAACTTGCAAGTAAGGAACGAAAAAAGCCAAACACACTTTCATGAGAACGTTCCCAAGTTGCAACCACATTGAAACTTCTGAACTTGCCTTGATACTGTTAGTACTGCAGAGATACTTGTGAAACCCCAAAAGGATAAGGGCCATCAATCTAACAGTCACCCCACCACTGCTTAGCCTAAATACCTCCATCAATAAGCTATGACATTCGTAATTTCGCAATAAGTCTTGAGTTATGATCACAGTTAGTAAAATGTCTAATACGATTGTTTTAAAAATGCAAACGATATTAAAAGGAAAAAGTTTTCCCGTAATTTCAAATAACTATTGTGATTGTAACTGCGCTTAATATAATATTTGATGATAACACACTAGTTCGGTAACGGAGTGTTACACATATCATACTAAAGTCATATTAAAAATTAGTTTTAAAAATTTAAAACTAAATCAATAATATAATAAAAGTATTGTTTTATACATAAAGTAGCTTTACATAAAGGAAATAATCACTAATCTATAGATATTCATAAAGTTACTTGATAGCTTTACTAAGTGTCATACTAGTTAGACTTTTACAAACAATTATTTAATAAAAAAAGGAAAATTATTACTTACTTATACAAATAAAAATTTGAACAAAAGAAAAGAAGATTATTCTCTCTGCTATGTGAAAAATAGTGCCTTAGACAAATCATCATCTTTTTGAGATAGTTTCTTGGAAAGTAAAGATATTCAAAATTGAAAACACACCAGTGTAGTACCCAATCTTGCATCTTTGTCCTGGAAATGATGACTTCATTTTCTTCATATATTAGAAGTAATCTTCAGAGTACTCATTCATTTTTCGAAAGAAAAATATCGCTGATTCTCTCTCTCTCTCTCTCTCTCTACTCTTTGTGTTCACCATTTTCTTGGAGAAAACAATATGGTTCTTGTTATTACAAATCATATCATATTTTGGGGCTTTTTTTGGTATACTCAATAAACTCAAATCTTTTGTGAACTTTTTATTTGAAGCATTTAATCTGAAAATAAAATCTCTTGAGTTGTTTATTGGTTTAGAGATTTATTATTAATATTATGAATCTGATTTTCTGATTTCACTGTGGTATATACTAAATAATTCAGATTCATTGGTACTGAAATTTTAAAGATTTTAATACATATATATATCAATTTGATTTCTTGCATGTGGCATAGATTGAGGAGCTTAGTTTGATCTTACTATGATATATTTGGTGTGATAGGACACTGTAATTTTGGTTGATTGCACTTGTTACAAATCTGAAAAATTTTGTATTGGTTGTTAAAGTGGAGTATTTGTGTGCTGTAAATCTGTCTTAGGTGTGTGAGGTGCAACATGTGGGTTGGCTACCTTTTGTTTGGCTTGAGAGTGTGTCTCAAGGCCTAGAGCCTCAAGAATCCACTAGGGAGAGTGGAGGTCTTGTATGAGGGGAGTTGGTGAACTCCGTATGTTCAGCTTGAGAGTATTCTCACAGCTTGGACCAGTGTAGGCACTAGGAAGATTTTTGGTATTTAGTTTGATTGCTTGTGTGATGCGTGTTTTTAAAATGGTGCACTTATGATAACTAAAATATCTGCTGCTACTTCAGTCTGGACGTAACACCTAATTTAGGCTTAATGGGTGTGAACTAGGATATATCGTGTGTCTCTGTCTTTAATTTAATTTTTGAATTTTTTGTATTAAGATAGAAAGAAACACTAATTTTGGTTGAAAGTGTTGTAGAACCTTACTAGTTCTGATATAAGTGTTGTAGCACTTAAACTGTTTTTCTAATATTTGGAAGTT